TATATATATATATATATATATTAAAAACTAATTTTGTGTTTTTAAACTTATGTTTTAAAATTAAAACTAAAAGTTGACTGAATTCCTATTAAAATGGAAATAAATAAATATTTTTAAAATATTACTTTTAAAAATTGCGCGGGTCAAAAATTACGTGCTTACAATAGTAAAAATATCTAACTAGTATAGGTGAAAGCATATAGGAGGTAAGCAAATATTGATCAAGGAATAAGCAACAAAAACAAGTAACAGTTGAATGAAAAATAACAAATAAAGCATAAATAACAGTTAATGACATTAGCAACCAAGGCAAATAACGAGATATAACATGGTATAACTAATGACATGAAGATAAATAACTCAACCCGCATGCTTTAACCCATGATTATGCATATACACTCATCACCTCACATATACGTCATCCCCACATATAATTCACGTTGAAAATAGACCATACAAGTCCTAATTCCCTCAAGTCAAAGTTAAATACGACACTTACCTCTTTTCGCAATTAAATTAATAATCAACCACGACTTTTCCTTTAGAACAAGCCTCCAAACAAACCGAATATAGTCAAATATCATTCAAACAATCCAAAATAAGCTTTAGAAACTACCCACGAGTGAAAAAAGTTCAATCTTTAATGAAATTGAAAAAGTCAACAAAAGTTAACCTCGGGCTTACTTGGTCAAAATTCTAGATCCGAACCAAATCCTGATTACCCATTCATCCTCGGGCTCGGATATGTGATTTGTCGAAATTCTACCTCAATTTTACAAAATCCTTAAATTTTACTCAAAATCCCTAATTTCTAACATGAAATTCTTAAATTTGATATTTGAAAACTCATGAAAAGTAATTGAAATTGATTGAAAACTAGTTAAAGAATCTTATCAATGAATTTGGAAAGAAAAAGTTCTTCAAAAAATGCCTTTAGAGTGTTTTGGGGTTGAAAAATGGTGTAAAATGAGCTAAATCCTGTTTTTCCCTCTTTTACCCAGTTGCAGACGTCGCATTTGCGAACACTTGTTTGCAAATGCGATGTCCGCAAATGTGACACATTGATCGCAAATGAGACAAAACATCGCATTTGCGAGTCACCCCTTCATCGCAAATGCGATCAAAAGTTCGCATTTGCGAACCTGTCTAAGTCTAGTGCCCAGTCACAAAAGCGACCAAACCATCGCAAAAGCGATCCTGGTATGTCCGCAATTGCGAACATTTCTTCGCAAATGCGAAGATTGCCCAGCCCAACCCATTACCGCAAAAGCAGAGTGCACATTTGCGAACAGGTCCTCGCAAATGCGAGACCTGCAGTTCAATACCAGCAACTAAAGCACAACAACTATTCTTAAACCATCCAAACTCGCTCGCTACCTCAAATCATCAAAATAACATCAAATAACAAGAATCGATCATCAAAACTCAAGATTTCAATTTGAAAAATTAATTTTCATAATTTTTCACATAATGTGTCGAAATACGCTCGGGTCACCCCGGAACCCAACGAAACGTGCGCATAAATCCAAAAATATCATACGAACCTACCAGAATCGTCAAAACACCGATCAGAGGTCGTTTACCACATGACCCTGGTCAGCTCTAACCTTATTTCAAGTCAAAAATTATATTTTCTTCAAAAAGTTTATAAAATCTTTTCGAAAAATAATACGGACTACGCACGCAAATGAATAAACATCAAATGAAACTATGAGAGATCTCGAAACACATAAAATAAGGCTAGTAAATGACCTATCGGGTCATCACATTTGACATCCGTTTACCTAGCTGTCCATAGGATCCCTCACCATTACCTTTCATCTCAAATATGCCCCTCTCGCTAACGGTTTCCCACTATGGAAAAATTAGTAAGTCACAAAGGGTATATTTAGACCATTTTCAATTATTCAGGGGTATATTTGATCATTTTCAATTAGACATGGGCATCTTTAAATTATTGCGTAGAGTATATATAAATCAATTCGATAGTTTAGGGGTAAATTTGGTTCTTTTGTTTGTCTACGTGGCGGGGCAAATGTCAGAACCAAGATAAATATCCCTTAGAGAGGGGAGGCTTTCATGGACCAATAAGTAAATAGAGAAAAAATTGTAAGTCAAATAAAATACTTGAGTAGTAAATTTGAATGTTTTACTTCAGCTTATAAGCGCGATGAATTTTCCTCTTTTGGTGGAGCAACCAAACACCTGACTTGTTTTCTCGAAAGAAAATATTTTCTTTCAAACTGCTCGGAGTTTGTCCTAAATCTCTCAACTTAGAACCAACAATATCAAAATTGTAGACCAGCCATTGCCAAGAGAAGGATTATGTAGTATATGTGACCTGATGTCCTGGTAGTCTGCTCATCTTTCATGATGGAAACCTTCCCTTCTTAGAGTTACCAGTAAATGTGTCCATAGCTTGTTATATGCATTTGATTTGCATAGTGGGCAGCTGGAATGAATTTGAAACCAAGTGTCAATGCAGGAAACATGCAAGGCATTAGGGCAATTAGGCAAATGTTTCACCCATTCACCTTCTTCAAATTCACCTAAGCAATTTGCACAATCTCTAGTATTATTCCCTCTGGTTTGCTCTTCATTCTTTTTGAACTGATTTATTGGTAGTGAATGCATAATATACGAGGAAGGTTGGTGAAGATTTTAAGTATAAGACATTCGATTCTTTCAAATGAAGAACATTTTTAAAAATGAACTGTCCTACTCCTAGTTCCTTTACTTAATTATGAGAAGAATGCATTTCAAGAATTGCTTTCAGCTTTAAGGAGTCTTTTGTTGGTGTTCAGTGTACCACTTGTCTAGCCTATATTTTGCATGAACGTCTGAATGTCCAAAATAAAAGAAAAACGAGGGAAAGAATCTAAGAGGAAAGTTTTCTCGAACAAAAAATCGGGAAAAAGTTCTAGGAGAATACTAAACTCAAGATGTTAGAAGGTGCAAAATTAAATCAGGAGCTACTACAATAGCTTCAATAGGACCTGATATCTGTATCAGAAACGTCCTTAGTTTGTCGATACATTCCGTTGCGCGAACTCTTTGCATTACACAGATTATATAAATCACCAGGATGTCTTTTAGGCACAATATATTAGAATCACTATAAATGAAGAGCTTAAGGTCTGACAAAGAAATTTAAACTACTCTTTCCTTCAACTATTTCATCAAGTTATAGCTATTTCAATTAAAATCAGAATTTATACAAAAATCAGAAGCATAGGCATGTTTCAGCTTCTCTCACTGCAACCTTTGTCTCTTGTCCAGGTGAACAAAACTGTTACAGTTTTCACCTGCAGATACCAATCTCTGATATCCTAAATAAGGTGACAACATTTGAGATGATCCACAAGTCATCTCAAAGTAAGGCTGAGGATTGAGTGGTAAAACAAGATGACTAGAATTTGCAGCATTATTCTGAGTGACAATACCAGCTTCACAACCTTTAATTGAAACTGGTGGAATATGTAATGGCTGAAACTGAGGCGGATTACGCCATCTAGGAAGCGGTCCGGCTACAAGTAGTGTTTGCAAAAGTGGCCCTGATTCAAGAACAGCCTGAAGGAATTTCCCTTGTTGAGGCAAAGTCTTTCCCTTAACAAGACTTTCAATAGCCAACGAGGCCAAATCAAGATCAACTTTTGCCATTTCTTGAGGTACAACGGTGTATGAAACCGGAACGAGAGGGTGGTTTACAAATGGCATTGCATTTGAATCAGCCACATTGATGTTGGAAAGCTCAGGGGATGTAACAGCATCCAAAAAGGACTCGACGGGGGATGAATTCTGTGATTGATAATTGTATGTTTCAGTGAGACTATTCGATTCAATAGTGCTTGAATTTGCTTTCGTGACCTTAAATATTGAACAATCAACTTGGATTTGAGAAGGGGTATTGAGCAAATCAGCCTGATTGATTTTGTTGACTAGTTTCTGAAGTTGATCTCTTGCTTCATCTCTTTCTTGATAAGCCATCTTTGTAAGTTGTATTAATTGCTTCACATATTCATTGTTCTTTCTCTTTTCTTCACTTGCTTCCATTTTCAGTTTTTCAAGTTCAAGACTAGTGTATAGAAGCTTCTGTCTCATTTCTTCCGGAGTCTGCAAAAATTATCAAAATATAAGTCAGAGAAAATCACTCAAGAATTTAATTCCTTTACAGAAACAAAGCGCAGGGGAGCCTTAGAGCAACGGTAAAATTGTCTACATATAACCTTATAGGTTATGAGTACAAGCCGTGGAAGCAACCACTAATGCTTTCATTTGGGTAGAATGTCTACATCATTATCCCTTGGGGGTGCGGCTCTTTCCCAAATCCAACGTGAACGCGGGATGACTTGTTCACCGGTTGCCCCTCCAGAAACAAAATATTTAGCCATGTTCACACTCATGAAAGATCATAAATATCATGGATGTAATTTAACAGAATTTGATTAGATCAGTAGTTATTATTATGTGAATAAGTTATTCAAAGTTAGGAGTAATAGTGAAACAAACCATAGACAGAGCCCATTAGTTAGGTAATGAAACATATCAGTCAACTCCAAAACTTTTAAAATTAGAAAAGTGAATGTAAACCATGGTTCAACTTTGGATACTTTATATTAAAAAACATATGGTGCAAGGGGCCCTCTATGATGAATTCTTGAAATTTACTAAAATTCTACTCCTACTTTTGGAAGTCCTTAACAGGAACATGTTCTCAACTAGGAGAAAATGGTATTGCACCACTTTTACCCAACAAAAAAAAAATGCAGTAAGTCACTAAGACAACAACAACTAAACTTCATTTCCGGCAAGTTATAGTCGGCTATATAAACTCTCACTGTCGCTCTATTTAAGTCCGTCTCATCTCAGTGCAGTTTTATATAATCATCAGACTAGGAAAAAAGACAACTCAAACACCATTTACTTATGTTCAGCATTTGCCAAATCAATGTTGTTTAGTAAAATTAACCGCAGTCCATTAAAGAACCTTTACTCACAGAAACAGAGAATCTTTAGTGACACTTTTCTTTGAAGAGAAGTATGAATTGAACACAAGAAAACTTATTGAAGAAAAGAACCCAAAAAAAGATTATGGTTTCCAGAAGTAAATGATGCATTAATAACAGAAGGAGGAAATGATTTTAATTAAGAGGAAATGAACTGAGACACTACAAAAACAAGAGAGTAAATAATGATTCCTACCTCTTGGTAAATCCATAAAGAATCCAATTGTTCCATTTTCTCTCTTGAGTTAGACACTCTTTGAACTTGCAAAGAAGAAGAGAAAACTATAGAAAGGTAATCTTAAAAAGTTAATGAGAGGAAGTTTTATAAGAAGAGAGTTTGCACTATGTATTATATAGAAGGAAACTTAAACCAAACAGGACAAAAGAAGGTGCGGTATAGACCAACCAATCCCCATCATGGAAAGGCAAATTTATTATGGAATCTTATTAAAGACCTTCCATAACATAATCTTTTTTTAAAAAATAAAAAAAATTCACATTTTCTTTCTTGTCTCTGTCTCTCTAGTCTCTACTTATATAGATTTACTCAATTTTTTATTTCTTGAGAAAATATATTTTTTGTATATATAAAAATATTTATTTATATTATATACAAAAATGTATAAATTTTATAAAAAAAATTACAACTACTGAATATAAATAATTTCGATTGAGGGCTAAAAGTGATTAAACCCTTTTCCTTCTCAGGGAAATTGGTTCTCTTTTTTTCTCTCTACACGTATAGATATACTCATGTAAGTACTCCTTTCTCTTTCATAAATAGTACAATAAATCATATAGTCAATGAGTAAATCCAGTTAGATTTTCCTTAAATATTCCATTGAGTTTGAAAATAATAGCCCCTTTTTTTCTCAGTATGTGAATATAAAAGCAAGCTGTACTTTTACACGGTTTTGTTTGTTTAATACTTTTCAAGTTTCATAAATCAGATTATCCTGCTGGAAATAATACACAATTATAGTAAACCGAAAATTTAATCAATCTAATTTCGACTTTTTTTTTTTTTTTTTTTTTTTTTTTTTTTTTTTTTTTTTTTTTTTTTTTTTTTTGCGTTTCTCAATTCTAAATATGATAATATGGAGATGTCTCTGTTAATAATATGGTGGCTACAGCTTATCCAAGAATGAAAAATATGATAAGTCGTGTTTTTTATTGGAGAAGAAAAAATGATCGTGTTTTTTATTGGAGAAGAAAAAATGAACTAACTAGCACCGTCTAATAAATGAAAATTCCAAACAAATTCCTAGTAAAGGAATTTTATAAAAGAGGAAGTTATTGTACTAACGTTTATATTAATTAAAGTATTTTCCTAATCATGTCACTTTAAAAATAATTTCAGGTAAACTTGGTAAAAATAGACACTGACCTATCATTACAAGTTAAACAATATGATTGTGTAATTATTTTAATATATACATATATATATATATNTGGAATGGGGTGGAATTTTGGTCTTGTACTGTTGCTATTACCTCTTTTTGCTTCTCAAATTTTTTTTTTTTTTTTTTACAAAGGCAGGTATAAGGTTTTACTTATTTGCTACAATTAGTTAAACAAACAGTGTCCTGTATTAAAAGAATGTTCTGTATTAAGTCCCGTTTATGGAAACAAAAAGTAGTAATCTTTTTCCTTTCTTTTGCTACATACATTCATTTATGTGTACGGCTAGTCACGTTCTCTAATTTACAGTCTAGCAATTTCTGTTTACCCGAAAAACGGATAGAGTTGAATTTATACGCGGTTCTAAAGACACGTGATATAAATTGGTACAAATCGGAAAGATAAGTAGAAATATATCGAATGTTTATTGCAAAAAGGAAAGAAATACAAACCAAATTGATTAGAGAATGATTTATAAACGAGCAAGATGAATCCATATCCAAAGCTCAAGAAAGGATAATCTCTCTCTTTATATATATTAGTGTAATAATCTTTGAAGTGTGAGAGTGTATGAATATTTTGATCTTTTCTCCGGATGTTCAATCTGTCTTTACAGAAATAATACCCACTCTTAATATAGTGGAAGAATCCTACTTTGGATATAATAAAAAATACATAATGGAGATCCCATGATAGATTAGTTGGTTAGCTTTTCCTTAATTTTCGCCGAGATTTTCTCTCTGGTGCGGCTACAACGGCTCTTTGTCTCTTAGCTCGATCTTGGTCGATCTCGGTATCAGCCTATCTCTGGATCTCGAGCTCGATATTGACTGGAGCTCGGTATTGATCGATCTCCGTCTCTTGAGCTCGGTAACACTACATGTCATAGCTCGATATTGACTCGAACTTGGTATCTTAAACTCAATAACCTGGCTTTACTTCTAATCTCGATGTTACAATGACGACCCTCGGTTCATCACGTTCCAATCTCGACTAATTACACGAAACCCAAACTCGGATTTGACCGTATACAGATAGTCCCCTCATTTCTCGGAAAGAATATGGCGAGAAACGATATGATTTTTCAATGACATGACTATATACACACTGACGTCTACATCGAGTCCGGCCATGACGTACGTGATAAATGTCCCGTCGATTCAGTTACCAAGGCATTAAATGTACGTCAGACGATGGTCGGCCACTGCTGATATTGAACCGTCATCACCAAATTTATAAATAGCACCCCTCTTCACCATTTTTTACTTTTAAATTTCCAATCTCCATCTACTAAGTTCTTTTTTCCATCTTCCAGGTTCTTCATCTGCAAATCTGCGATTTTTACTGCTAACCTCTTCTTAGAACACCAAATCTTATCATCTCCCGCGAAAATGTCAAAAACTGTTCCTCAAAAAGAAAACGCTTCTTCATCGCGGCCGGCCAACGACAAAACACCGGTGGAGCCACGACCTGAGGAGTGCGTTCCCGGGGGGTGTGTTCTCACTTCTGATTTTAAGACCGACAAAGCCTCGTCGGTTTCCGGTCGATGCGAGCCAGTATCGAGGTATATGTGCTCGATAACTGAGGGATACTTTAAACAGGTAAGGAAATATTGCAACTGGGAGAACAAAGAAGTGGTGATCCCGGCTTCCGAAGAAGATATTACCACCCATGTGAAAGGGTTTTTAAGTATTTACACTTACCCTTTCATGTTGGGCCCCCTTCGACCCCGTTGTCATTGATTTTTGCCGCCAATACCAAATAATCCTAAGCCAAATCCATCTTTCTTTTTGGCTAATTGTTATTCTGATCCGCTTCTTCGTGAGCAAAGTCGTAGGGATGCCTTTCACCCTCGACCACCTCATCAGGTTGTACAGCCCACGCCTCTATCGAGGCAAGTTAATAAAACTCCAGTGTCGGGCTACCAAAGTGCTGCTCTCGAGCATAGGCGAGGATAAGGACCGAGGACGGATGTGCCGGTTCGTTCGAGTGAGGACTTCTGACCTAATCCCGGCTGAGAAGATGTCATTTCCCGAGAAATGGAACATGAAGCGTAAGTACAATCCCCCAGTTAGTTCCTATTAATTATTTTTCTCCTTTGCTTCTTCTCATCGATATCCTTTTCCATGATGTAGCGATCGCTTGGATGCCCGGTGCAATTCCCAACCTCAAGAGCTGGGTTCAGGGCCTAGCTTCGACCTCTACGTATGTCGAGTGCTCATTGCGCAATCTATCAAAGGGCCGATGGGAGGCCAAAACTCATGGTAAGCCCCTTTTCTACGTCTTTGACGATTTTGTTTGAAGCATTTCTTACTTAATTTTCTTTTATACAGGCCTTGGCAAAGATGTTGTCATGAGGCCCTTATCTGGTAAGGGAGAGACTTCGATCCCGGCACCAAAACCGGCAAAGGACAGAAAGAGGAAAATAATCTCAACCTCCGAGGATCCTGAGCCTAAGAAGAGGGCATCTCGTAAGCCGAGGAAGAACATCATCCTCCTGACCGAAGACTCTGTTCGGCGTCTAAGGGATGAAGACGACTCCGGGCTGGTAGCCCGAGTGGGAATGAGCACCGAGGCCTTGAAAGCCATTGAATCGGTGAAGTCTGCAGATATTCCGTCTCGAAATAAGGGGGGTCTCGGGAAGAGACTTGGGCGAAGTCCCCGAGTCATCGAGAGTTGAAGATACCTCCCACCATAATGAGCCAACGGTGGGTACGACTGTAGGGGCTGGTTTCGAGGTCCCTCAAGATGTAAAGAATGTCCCGAGTGATCCACTTGGGGCAATAGAAATTGGAGGCTCCCCGATGCTCCGCTCGTTTTCCGATGAGATGATTCAAGAGGCTCGGGCCTTGAAGACCCTCTCTATCGAAGGAGTCCAAGGAAGGGAGGATCTCTTTTATGATTACTTTACTGGGGTCGAAGATGCTACCGGTCCGAGCGACTTGGAGGTCTCGAGGAAGGACTCGGGCGAGGTATCGAGCCTTTTCAACGAAGCGCAATAAGCTCTGAAACGGGTAAGCATTAACTCCCCATGTTGGTATTACCCTTGTGTTCATTTTTCTCTTCCTGTCTTAACTTCTTTTCTTCTTTCTGTGTAGGCCTCAACACTTCATAGGGAAGCATTTTCTCTGTCTCGAGCTGAGCTGAGTTGGTATGAAGCCGACCTCTGAGGGCTCACATAGGAGAGAAATGCCCTTAAACTTCTTTGTGGGCAAAAAGAAGAGGAGATCAGGGACCTCCGAGCCGAGTTGGCCAAGACTCACCAAGATCAGTCCGACCTGATCGAGCAGGTAATGAAAATCTTAAAAGATCACGGGCTTGATTCGGGAGCGGTGGCTAACATTTCAATCTCAGAACTGCAGCAGAAGATCGATATGATCGGGCAACTCCTTGAGGAGGTCGATATGATGAAGGTGGAGACCTTGGTTGGAAAGAAGGTATGGACCGCTTTGTTGTAGAAAAAGAGACTGCTTTATCCCAATTGTCATCGGCCGAAAGTCAGCTTCGAGGCATGAAAGAGAAAAGCTCAATTCAGGCGAAGAAGTTAGAGGAGCTCGAGGCCCAGTTGGCTTCCGAACTTACAAAGGCCAAGTCTGAAGCTGAAAAGGCAAAGGCCGAGGCAGAGGAGATCGTGGCCGTCTATTGGGCTGATGCTGAAGCCGCTCAAGTAAAAGTGAGAGAGGCAGCCGAGACCGCTCAAAATCGAGCATATTGGATTGTTGAACTCGCCAAATGCCAATCTCGGAGGGAAACCCTCGAGGAGATCCACGCT